ATTTAGTTCCACATGAATTCCAGCTGTCTGCATGTCCCCACGTGTGCACACTCACATGTACACCTGAACACATGTATCGACATACTCATACACACATACTGTTACACATTAAATATTCTTTCACTTATTCACGTGTTTTTGTATTTACACACATTCACATGCACATGCATACAGACATGTTGCTGGCTCAGATGCTGCTACATACTTAAGTATGTGCTTCACAAATATCCACACACAATTACCTATGTGAAAATAATACCCTTCATGCATCTTCACTCTTAAGCACTTTCACGTAGTCCTATATATATACTCAGATACATGCACATCCTCACTACACACATTCACATGTGCATTTATAACCACAGAAGTACACATACTTATGTTCATACCTGTACGTGGTCAGATACATCTCTCTCTGAGGTTACCTGTCTAAATCTGTTCAAACTAGCGTACACATATACACAGGCCAATGTGTACATTTGCACAGACACATGGTCCCACAATATACACATGCACACACATGCTCCATGACGTATAGATGCTGCAGAGCACACACTTAGGTGCATTCGTAAGCACACGTGTCAAGACAAGCTGGATGGTTCCCTCTAGGTCCTAGCTCCAGATCTTTCTCTTGTAGAGTGCCGAAGTTGCTGCTCTAGGCCAGGACTCCCTTCCCTCTTCTCCCTCGTCCATTCCTGTCCCTGCTTCTACCTTCGTCTCACTGCATAGACTCAAAGAGAGTCGCTGGAAAGGTCAGATGAAGGCCAGCCAGACTCAGCCCTCCCCTCGTCAGGAACGGATAGAGACCCCTGTTGCTTTGCTGGCTGCCTTCTCTGCTCTCAGCTCTGGTGAATAAAGCCAGGCTCTGAGAGGCAGACAGTCAGGCCTGGGGACTCCAGCTGTTTACAGAGTGGCTCTGCACTCCTGTTGGTCTTAGAGAACAGACACAGCCTGGAAAGTTTCTGATATTGGGACTATGTCCATATTACCGTGGACCCAGGGTGCATGACCAGCTCTTTGCGTGGCTGGTGAGGCAGAGCCCTGGGATGAAAGTCTGGGGGCCTGGGCATGTCTGTTCAATGAAATTCCCCTTTAGCTCTAACTTCTTTATGATGAAAAGAAACAAGCAAGGGCTGGGTAATCCCAAACATCCAGAAATTAAATGTTTCTGTTTGACTCAGGAGGACCTGGGGTTTGGGGTGATATAGATCTGAATTCAATTCCCACTTCTGCTACCGATTAGCCGCATGTCCTTATGCAAGTGACCTAACCTTTCTGAGCCTCAGTTTACTTATCTGTAAAATGGAGATAACATATCCTGCCTCATGGGGGTTGTTGTGAGGTCTAAATGAGATGAAACATGTGGAAGTGCTCTGCATACTGCCTGGCACACAGTAGCATTTAATGTGTGGTTGTTGCCCTTGTTACTATATTTTTTTGTTTTTGTTCTTGTTTTTGTTTTGCGGTACGCGGGCCTCTCACTGTTGTGGCCTCTCCCGTCGCGGAGCACAGGCTCCGGACGCGCAGGCTCAGCGGCCATGGCTCACGGGCCCAGCCGCTCCGCGGCATGTGGGATCCTCCCGGACCGGGGCACGAACCTGTGTCCCCTGCATCGGCAGGTGGACTGCGCCACCAGGGAAGCCCTGTCTAAACATTCTTGATCTCCACTCCAGGGGGCCATCTGTCTGTGCTCCCCTTGTTGGTTATCTCCATTTTCATTACTTACTATTTTCTCCTGAGGCATGCTGAGCCTACCATGATTTGAGGTTGGATTTCCACATTTGATAACGCTTAGGTTGTTGCTTAAGTGTGCTTTGTGGGCCTGGGGTCCCTCAGTTTCCCCCGTCTGTGCTCTTCAATGTTCTGGCAGTTACAAGGGTTGGATCTTCATCCCTGCCTGGTCAATAACTAGTTCTGGGATGTGATTTCACCAAATCTTGGTTTCCTCTGCTGTAAATTGGGGAATATTGTGTCTGCCATGTCCGCTTTGTAGAGTGGTCATTACAGTAAGTGTTTGGTGAAGGAATCAAGTGAGAGAACGAGTGTGAAAATGTGTTGAAAATTACTAGTGGCATTTAATAATAATAACTGACATTCACTGTGTGTGTACCATGTGTCAGACGCTGCACTTAGCACTTCTGTGCCTTATCTCCTAATCCTCACAACAGGTCACAAGGTGGCTGCCATTGGTCCCCTGCTCTGCAGCTGAGGAGCCTAAATTAGGCTACCTTGTCCGAAGCCACAGAGCCGAGCCTCAGATTTTGTCTGGGCATGGAAGACTGTGTCCTAACTGCTATACTGTCTCTGTAGAAAGCAGTATGCAGCAGGAATGAAGTCTGGAAAGGTAGACAAGAGATACCAGAGAAGGGTAAGGCTCAGAGAAGTCTAGGAATTGCTCAGGATCACACAGCTAATCGGTGGTGGCTTTGGGGCTTCAGTGCCCAGAGCCTCCATCATCGCCACCACCACCATCATCATCATCGAAAACATTTAGAGCACTTAACAAAGCATCTACCGTGATAAACACTTCCCTGCACGTAATTTCCATCCATGATAACTTGAGGAGGTAAAAAAAAAAAAAAAAACAACTTGGTGAAGTAGTATGATGTTAATCACCCCTGGGATTTTACATACAACGAAGCTGAGGCTTAAAGATACGAACCAAATCAGCTTCTTACATATAGTGAGTGAACCCAGGTCTACGTCACTTCAGAGTCTCGGCTTTTAACCACCACACAAAATAAGGGCAAACCACTACGCCTTTAGTACTCTGTAACAAGGAAATAGATCTCCGTGGGACAATTACAGGGAAACAGGTGGGGGTGGTGTTGGAGTGCAGATATGTACACCTGTCCTCAGATAACCAAGTTTTTAACGTAAGCGGGTGGCCCCTGACTTGGTTTGATGACTCTTTACCATTTCAGAAGAGGGGAGGAAGTGTCAACGCTCACCGCACAGGGACTATGAATAACGCAGATGTCAGTGCACTTCTGATTTGGGAGGGAGAAGAAGAAAAGCAGAGTTCATTAGAAGCTCTAATAAGATATCCATTCACAGAGTGGGAAGACTTGGCTTTCGAACCTGGAGGCCCAGTGAAAAGCAGCCATGCTTGTTCCTAGTTGACAGGTGGGACCATCTCCATATGGAGATAAAAGGCTTATGAGTTTTAGGGAATTGATCGCTTTTCCTTTGGATGTGGGCAGGGTCTCTTGACCATATTAAGACAGACCTCTCTGCAGGAGCATAGATTTTGGACCATTTGCCCCATGACATACGGAGCTCAGTGATTTTTGCCAGTCTGGGACTAGAAGGTTAGATCTAATCTCCATAAATGTTTAGGACCAAATAATGGTTTGAATCAATAGACAGTATATCTGATTTGGCTTATTTATTTTAGAAAATAACTGAGACCTGTTATTAGATCACTGTGCCAGCTGCCAGGGTTACCACAGGAAATGAGACAAGATTCTGGCCCCCAGAGAACTGACATTATAGTGAGAGGAGGGACACATGAGCAGACTGTGAGAGTGTAAGTGCAGGTGGTCAGTGCTGTTATGGAAGTTGTAGCACGTGTCACAAGAATGGGTAGAAGGGACCCATCGCAGGCTTAGGTCGAGCGCACACATGAGCTCACACACGTGTACACACGTGTTAGAGTGTGAAGCCTTCCTGTGGAGGTCATTCTTTTTTTTTTTTTTTTTTTTTTTTTAAAGAATAGCTTTATTGCTTTGCCAGGCAAAGGGGGACACAGAGGGCTCCTGCCCTTGAAAACTATATGTCCCCTTGCGGAGGTCATTCTAAGCGGAGAGTTAAGGGAGCCTGGAGGCTGGCAATGGAAAGGAGGCTGGAGCGGGTGCTCTGGGCAGAGGCCTCAGCAGCATCAAGAGAAGGCTGAAAACCAGAGGGCGAGCACGGCCCGCGTGGAGAACGCCGGACAATTCCATTAATCCAGAATGGGAAGCAAGAGGGAAGAGATGCAGCCGCACAGAATCAGAGGGGCCTTCTAAGCTTAATGCTGACGGGGAGGGGGGTCCACAGGGAGGCGTTAATGCAGGGGACTGGCGTAGTTAGGTTTGTATCTTAGAAAGACCACGGTGTGAGGAAGAATGGATTGGAGGCGGGCAAGATGCAAGTCTTGGGACGCTTTGCAGTAATGTGGGCCAGGCACCATGGAAGCCTGAGCTGGACCAGGGTCAGGCGGACATAGGGGAATGGGTGGTTTAGAGGATTTCAAGGCAGGAACATCTACAGGGCTTGGTGATCGACTGGCTGCTTCTGCCTCTGCTCATAAAGAGATGATTGAAACTGCCTTAATTATTTTCTCACAAGCTAGATTACTCCCTTCAAAACAAGTATAATTGATTTTTTGTTTTCAAGGATTGAGGAAAAAAAATGAAAGTAGCATTACATTTAGTTATAATCACTAATGTAAGATTTACTCTTTGTAGAGATGAGAAAAACATAGAAATACTGAAGGATATGAAATCATGCATAAGTCTACGATCCAGGGATAATTGCTGTTAACATTTTGGTATTTTTCCTTCTAGTCTTTTTTTCTAGAATAACTGATTTACTTTAAACTTTTTACTATGGGAATTTAAAAATACATACAAAAGTATACGAGAGAAGAATCAATATACCCGTTTTAGCTTCTGTGACCAGTCCTCTGCTATTGCACAGTTGGATTTTAAACTTAAAAGCAGGTCTTTACATTTGCTTTAATCTAAAACTTTCACCTGTTGATAGAATTCTGCTTTTGTAATCCTGAGTGTTTAGCATGTGCGAGCCCTGCTAGCTCTTTGGCCATTTTCAGATGTATGTCTTTACCCAAAACGTTGACTAGGACAGTAAAAATGTCCAAATCCCATAGTATACCACTGAAGACGTGAAAACACACCAGATTTTCCACCTCCTTGGGGAAGACCAGCGCAGAGGGTAGATATTTCAGGGAGAGAGATATCCCGAGCAGGAAATAGCAGCTTGTGTTTTGACTCACTCACCATAGTTGTCTCAGCAATGGAACCGAAGCTGTTGATGAAAATGTTGCAGCTCACGTTCACCGGGGGACCTGCCAATCAAGAGAGATTCCTGCTTAGTTCCAAGGCCAAGAAGAAATCCCCAGGATAGGACCAGTTTGTGGGATTTTGACTTCAGGGATGGATCCCCCTTGGTGGAGGAGACCCTTGCTTGACCTGCACCGCACCCCCGAGCAGCGGGGACCCCCAGCCACATTGCTATGCCAGATTCCCTGGTCCCCAAGTGAGCACCAGGTATAGAACACCAGAGGCTGAGCCGGGATGCACTTTCATTAACAGGATAATTCATCATCCTGCCATATGGTTGAAATCCCTTCCCCAAACCCCATCGGCTGCCTTCTAATTTGCGGCTGCAAGGTTACAGCTACAACATTTGGAGGCCATCTTGGGAACCGCAAGGAACAGCAAGTTCCTTGCCTTGAACTTATGAACCAAGAATGATTGTCTGAAAGGGCATTGATGGGAATTACCAGCTGCGGTATCCAGAGGGAACCTCAAAGGAAGTCCATAAGTCTTTGTTAAATACTTTCCAGGCAAGCTTTTTGAATACTACTACAAGGGCAGGAAGGAAGTGGAGGAATATTTGCTCTTTGGAATCTCATTGCTAGAGGGACCTCTGTCCAATTGAAGCCCAGTCTCTTCATTTTATACTATTAATTACAGCAGCTACCATTTACTGAGCAGGTTTTGCTGTTGTGCTGAGAGTATTACTAACAGTATCTCATTCTATCCTCTCAACAACTCCATGAGAAGACCTGGTTATTCCCTCCATTTTACAGATGAGGAAACAGAGGCACAGAGAGGTTATTTGCCCACGGCTACACAGCTAGTAAATGGTCAAGCTTGAGCTCAGATTGATCTAATTCCAAAGCTAGTGGTCTTAATGGCTATACTTTCTGAAAGAGGTTCAGAGAAAGGAAGGGGCATGCTCAAGGTCACAGAGTGGCAGAATCCAGGATTTTAAGCACTGGGTTTCCACATGTGCTGAGAAGAGGACCGGCATCAAATAACCAGGGAGGAATGTGAGAACGTGGTAAGGGTCATAGAAGCAGTAGGAGTCCAGGTGTGAGAGAGGTTCTGAAGAGTGAGGCATTAGGGAAGACCTCATGAAGGTGATGACCTGGAGCTGACCTTGAAGGTGGGTAGGACTTGGATAATAGGTCATAATCCTTCACTTGAAGATTGTGACATGCCATTTGTGAATTTTTTCAGGTCCACTTTCTTGTTGATCCCCATGAGGTCCTGAGGTTGGCAGGGCAAAGTTACTGTCCCAGCTTCGTAAGTGGAGCACAGAGAGTTTTAGTAACTCACCTGGGCTTATTTACCCAGCAAGTGGTGGAGCCAGGACTCAAACCCAAGTTTTCTGATACCCACTTCTCTCCGTCCCTCTTGAAAAAGTAGCCCAAGCATTTCGCCCAAACTCAGCCAAGACTTCCTTCTTTTCAGAAATCCTGGTGTATAGAAAGGGACTCAATCCTGCTGTGAGAACCCAGGTTTTCCTTCCAAGGGATTGCCAGGATTCCTGGGTTTTAGACATAGCCCCAAGCTCTCCTTGGCTCTTTGCCCTGAGACAACGCCCCTTCCCTTTTCTGGGTTGCAATTTCCCCATCAATTTGGTAGAGTAGATCTTGATCTGGGCAGTCATTCTCAGCTCCATGGGGTTGCAATTCCCTTATGGAAGCTACCCATTCGAATTATGATGTTACTGTATAGAATTTCAGGGCTGGAAGTTCTCTGTCTTTTTCTTTTTCTTTTTTTTTTTAACATCTTCATTGGAGTATAATTGCTTTACAATGGTGTGTTAATTTCTGCTTTATAACAAAGTGAATCAGTGATACATATATCCCCATATCTCTTCCCTCTTGTGTCACCCTCCCTCTCAACCCTCCCTTATCCCATCCCTCTAGGTGGTCACTCGGTGCTTTGGAAGGTCTCTTAAAAGTCACCTAGTCTATTGCTTCCCAAACTGAGGTGCAGACGGGATTGTCTGCCGTAGCATCATCTGGGAAACTTGTTAAACTACAGATTCCTGGGCCCATGTTCAGCCCCAGACCCAGTGAACCCAAACCTGTGAGGATTAGCCCAAAGTTTATTGTTTAACGAGCGATCTGGGTGATCCTCATGCAGAGGCAGGTTTAGGAACCGCTGCTACCCATGCAAGGCTTAGTGCTTGATCACCTCCAGCAGTGGGGAACTCATTTCGTCTCGAGCAGCCCTTTCCATAGTTGGATCGCTCTGCTTGCTAAAAACTTTGTCCTTATGCTGAGCGGGAATCTGCCTCCTTGGTCACTTTCACCCAAACAAAGGCCCACTAGGGTTTTCTTCCCCTCATTTAGACTCAGATCCAGGTTTTTCTTTTCATTTAGCTTCATACCATTAAGATGCCCCAAAGAATTACTGCCTGTGCCTTGAAATGACATGCACAGAGTTCCCACCTAGGCCCTGTGCCTTGAAATGACGTGCACAGAGTTCCCACCCAGGCCCTGCAAGTGTCTGGTGCTGTGACTCCCATATAAATTAGATCCTGATTTATGTGTGCGAGAGGACGCCAGCCAAAAATGATCCCATGGGGAGGTGCGGTTCATTGAAATAAATCTGAAATTAAATTATCCTCAAGAAAATTACAATCTGGCTGCCTTTGGCAGCAGCATAATGTATATATTTCATTAAATATTAAAGTTTAACTTTGCTTTTGTGTATATGTTTGCACTGGGCTGTGCCCCTGATCCTGGGAGCCATTGTGATATGCAAAGTCTTAGCAAAGATACAGAATACCGAAGCTGACAGGGCCTGGTCCTACTGAACCATTGTACAGATGCAGAGACAGAGGCCCAGATGTGTCAAGTGATTTACTCTGGGTCCCAGATATCAGGAGGTGGGAGGTGGGAGGTGGGTTAGAATCCAATTTTCGAGCTCTTTACTTCAGTATTACGAGTTGCATTGCCACTATGTTCCGCAGACGGAGGCTGCTCTCCCCGTCCCCCCTATCTTTTTGTTTTTTCTTTTTTCAGGGTTGGATCTCATCTTTATTGAACATTTTGATATTTTGCTCATCGTGCCTTTTGTGCATTAGCTTTGATTTTTTCTTTTTTTTTTTAACATCTTTATTGGAGTATAATTGCTTTACAATGGTGTGTTAGTTTCTGCTGTATAACAAAGTGAATCAGTTATACGAACACATATATCCCCATATCCCCTCCCTCTATCTAGAGAGTCAGGAGCAGGCAATTTCCGGTGCTTGAAGGAACCTGCTGTGTGATTAATCACGCTGTGGAGTTTTCAAAGAAGGCAGGCCTCTTCCTGTTGTGTCGGGGTCACGGGGCCTACTTGGCCTGGCCTTTTCAGGAGCTCTGTAGTTTGCGGGGGGCTTTTGGGAATCTCATGTGTGCCTGGGTGGAAGCATGAAAGAGGCCATGGGGCTCAGGGGCAGGGGTCCCCTGCAACCAGTGCCTCAGCCCTCACCACAGGGAGAGTAGAGAAAGCTTGCTCCCTACCTCCTGGGGTGAGGTTCCAAGAAGCTGCACTTGTTGCTCAAAGCCCACATCGTCGAGGGGCTTGTAGGGGTTAGAGATAGTGCAGGGTTGCGAGAGGACTAAGAGATTATCTAGTCCTGTATATTTTGGGCCCAAGTGCTTGGAATAAGGTTTTCAAAGCGAGGAGGGGAAGGGCCCCGATTCAACGGTCTTATAGTCTGGGTGAAATTTTATTTCTTAAACATGTTCACTGCTAAGTAAGTAAGTAAATAAATAAACGAATCAGGAAATAAGCAAATAAATAAATCAGTAGTATTAGAGAATTGAGTCAGAGCAGCTAGCTGGGTTAAATTCCCCAGTCTTGGCAGTGTGACTTGGGAAAGTCACTTAACAGCTCTACTTAGCATATTTGTGGGGTCATTCGTTCATTCATTCATTTATGACAGACTTATTGAGGGCCTTCTTTGTGCCAAATACAGTGGTATGCACAAAGGATCACTAACACATGAACCCTGGATGCACCCACGTTCAGCAAATGAGCAGAAGACCAAGGCACTTCTACTCAGGCTGGAGTTCCAAGAGAGCCCACCAGGGGGCGCACTGGGATGGAATTCCTGAAAACTGCTGCAGATGCAACCTGGTGGTCAGTTCTCTGGTGTGTTTGATTTGGCCATTGGTGTTTCAAAGATGTGATTTAGCTGCGAACTTGGAAGATTTCACATAAACCCCCCGACTTAAGTCTTATCTTGGAAGGTCCGCTGCCCAGGGCCTGCATTCCTACCTGGCAGCTCTGGGCAGGAGCTGAGAAGCGGCAGCCCTTAGAGGAGCCTGTGCTTTCTGGTTTTCTCTGCTTATCCCCAACCCACTTCAATCATGTACCATATCTGCCGGGCCCCTCTGGGTGTTGGGGGTGTTTGAGATTGTGACCCTGGTGAAGGGCTTGGGTGCTGACTTATCTGCCCTTGAGGGAAGAAAGTTTATGCTAACGATCCTGGAGGATAATGGCCTTAGGAGCAAGGCACCTTGAGGTAAACAGGGGTGGGAGGTGGGCCCCCAAACAAACCTCACTGCATTTCCCAGACTGTTTTCTGTTTGCAGAGCGCTTTGAGAAGGGGGCTTACAGGGTGGGGGACAGAGTGAGCAGATATTAGGAAGCTGTTACCAGCTGTCACATCCCTTGTTTGGTCTTGGACTTGAGCCAAAAGGAACGTGAGGAAGGGCATCTGGAATCAAGAATTGATTAGGAGGTTGGCTGTGGGTCTTTGAAATAAGATTTTTGCAGGGGTGCTAGGAGGAAGGCCAGGGTCACAGACTCCCAAGGAGGTCCTTAAGACTGTGCCTGCAGAAAACCTGCCCAGCAGTTAGAGATGGTTAGAGCCTCCTAAGGCATCAGTGGACAAAGGGAACTGGTCCGCTCTTGATGTAAGACATTAAGATCTCATAGGATTGTGAGCTGAAAGAAACTTCCCAAATCGCTTCAGTTATGGTTTGTAAATTGGCTACCCCACAGGGCATGTCTGGCTCCCAAACGTGTTTTGTTTGAATTTACATGTTTTAGGATTCAAGAAGTTTCACGTAAATCTTGATTTCTGGCTCTCGTTGGACTTTTGGATGGTCTGGCAACATGGGACCCACATTCCTGCAGGTTAACTGCTCGCTGGGGCTAAGGAGGCGCCGCCCACTTTCGAGGGGACTGCTCCTCTATTTCTCCATAGTCTCTCCCTATCGCCTTATTAGGCATTTGAAATTGAGACTGTGATTGGGCAAGAGAGTTCCAAAATTATTTGTTAATCCAGGGGAAGCTTTCAGTGGATGAATGGTAGTTGGAAGCTTGTCATGTAAGACGAATAAAAGTGCAGCTGCTTGGGGGAGAAGCAAGGGTGGGCTTGCTCATCCCGTCCTCTGTTTCTCCCTTTTGGGACACAGGGTAAAAGCCCCAGAACTCCACGAAGCATAGTTTAAAAACCACAGAGACAGCCAACTCCATGCCTGCGGAGAAGAGGAGACTGTGAGGCCCAGCAAAAGCAAGCGGTTTATCTAAGCTCAGAGAGTAATTTTGTGCCTGAAGCAAAACTTGAACCCATTTTTCCACATTCCACATTAATCTCTTGTCCATTATACCGGAGCTAGCAAGTAGGTTTAATTCACGTACTGACTCTGGTAACCAGAGATACTGTTGAGTCGGACTCTCCGAGCCTTTGTTTGGTCTTGGATCATCTGCATACAATTCCATGCGGCTCGCTGCCATGATCTAGGAAAGCAGACCCCTGGGGCTCTGAGAGGCAAGTTTATCTACCTTTAAAATTGGGCCTGATCCTGGCATCGTATCCAGAGGTCCTCCCCATTAGCTTATCCAGGAAATCCGAGGGTGACATAGGCTTGGATGCGGAACGGGCAGCTTCAGCCTCCTTAGAAGCAGCAAGGCTAAGAAAGGAGAGAGAAAGCAGAGGGTTAATGACGGCCCTTTCTCACACTGTGATCAGATCCCAGTCTTGCTCGGCCCCTGTCGCTTACCCAGCCATAAGAACCACTAGAGAAATAGGTGATAGGAGTCCTTAATGAGGTAAGGCCCACGCTACCTTGTTTACCGAGCCTGAGTATTAGCCAGCGTGGGGTCCTGGCAGGCAGCCGCGTGTCTGATTGATGCTGAGAAGCTGCTGACTCTTTTAAGGCTGTATCTCTAAGGTTTAGGGCAATCACAGTTGGCTGCTGGTTTCCCTGGGAGAGGAGATTGAAGGGTTAACCTCCCACTAGGCCCAGCCCTGTGCTTTGGGTGCCTGTACTTTCATAGGTCCGTGGAACAGTGCAGCCAGAAAGAATGTTAGAGATCAAATAGTCCAGCCTTCCCCCAAAGTTTCTCTTCAGAATCAGTTACTAATTTTCTAAAAAAAGATGCCAAAGTCAAGTGCATTTGGGAACACAAATTGAATCAGGCGTCTTTACCTCGGGTCTTCTCAGAACCTGCAACAAGTCTAGATCCTGTACTTATGGGACTATCTCATATACTTTCAAAAATGCTCAGTTGGGGGCTTCCCTGGTGGCGCAGTGGTTGAGAGTCCGCCTGCTGATGCAGGGGACACGGGTTCGTGCCCTGGCCCGGGAAGATCCCACATGCCGCGGAGCGGCTGCGCCTGTGAGCCATGGCCGCTGAGCCTGCGCGTCCGGAGACTGTGCTCCGCAACGGGAGAGGCCACAACAGTGAGAGGCCAGCGTACCGCAAGAAAAAAAAAAAAAAGCTCAGTTGGGAAAACTGAGGCACAGCTAGTGAAGCACTGACATAGGTCCCAGAGTCAATCAGTGGCAGCTTGCCTAAGTGTATCAAGAGTTGGGGGATTTGAAATCCAACTGCCGGGGATGCTACACGTTGTTTCTGTCACCACCACCCCCAACAGAGTAGTTATAGGTCTTCATTCGTGCCACAGTAAGAATTATTGATATCTAAGAACAGCGGCCCTTCCCCTGCCACACTCTCAGAGGCATGCAGATTCTTAGAACCGTCAAGACTGGAAGCTTAAGGGTTGAGGATCAATTATTTCTCAGTTGCTTTGGGCAACTGAGCTTCCCTGTCTTGAAATTATACCCAGGAGATAGCTGGAAGCTAGTGCAGCCCTGCTGTGCGTGCTGTAGGGCTGGTACGTTGGAGGAAGTGCATGTATAGAGATGCCTGTGTGTGTCGCATAAAATGAGAGCTTCTGTCACCTAGCCAAGCAGGACGTCGTGTCCCCCAAGGGTTTGTACTGCCTGTCTTGTTCTTTGCCTCGGTTCCTTTTCTGATCTCAGAGTTGTAACTGTTTAAGTGATCCCCTCTAATGGGTGGCTCTCAAATCTCTCTCTCCACCCTGGCCTCTCCCTTAAGCCCCCTTTCTTCATTTGCAAACGGCTGGGGGTGGGGGCGCGTGTCCATCTCGATGTCCTGCCAGGCCTCAAGTTCATTCCAAACCAAATGCCGCAGCTTCCTTCCCAAACTTGTTTCTCCAGACCACAGATGCCCAGGTGGCACCGACGTCGTCTTCCCATTCTCTAGGACTAGATGCTTCAGAGCCGTCTAGTCTCTGTGTCCCCTCTCCTCTCGCGTCCCCTCACTCACGGGGGCCTTTCCTGTCTTGCACATGTCATGGCCATGCTACCTTGTCAGGTAGTTACTTGTGTTTTTGTTCCAAGACCAGCAATCCTGGTGGTTGTATTTATTGTTTGTTTATTTAATCTCCTATCGTGTCTACCACAGTGTGTCTCCCACATAACGTGCTCAGTAATTGCACAGTGAATGAACGAATGAATAATAGGCTACTTTAATTAATCAAATGTCCTGGTTAGTAGAAGTATTCATAAATATACATACATGGACTAACAATTTTAAAATAATTAGACCATTATACCCACTAATGAAAAATCGTGAAAATAATCTGTTATTCCTCTGAAGGTTGAGAGGTATTCCAGGATGATTTAGACACTCATGCTTAGTAATCTGAACATTCCTTATTTATATCCTGAAGGGCTCGTTTTGATGAACAGAATGAGGGACAAGTGCATTATCCTGTTTTTGTAGGTGTGAATATGGATATTTGTGAGTTTGTGTGATGTGGGTAGGTTTCTAGGTGTGATGTGTATGCATGTTATGTGAATAAATGGATGGATGTGTATGAATGTGTGTGGGGACTAGAGCATGCATGGGGGCATCTGTGAATGTACAGTGGATCGTGTTACAGAGATTCAGATATGCAGAAATGTGAAGACCTGTGTTCCTGTCAAAATGTGTTGTTAAACGTGGTATTTAGTGTGGGCATTTTTGTGTGTACATGTGGCATGTATGTGGACATGGGGTATAGAGTGTGAAAGTGTCAAATGCTTTCATGGCTGTATGTATGCGGTGGGTATATTATGTTTGTGTTACTGAAACGTACTGTCACATGTAATGGAGAATACTTCAAAAAGAGTGGAAAGAACAGGTGATTTGGAATCAATCCTGTCTCAGTCATTTACTAGCTGTGTGACCATGGGAAAATTACCTAGCCTCTCTGAACTTTGGTTGCCTGATATGTCAAAGAAGTTTTGCACAAGTAGTAACTGAGATAGCACAGGTAAAAAATGCCAAGGATGGTTCGCCGTGTGCGTGTGTGCGTGTGTGTGTGTGTGTGTGTGTGTGTGTGTGTGTGTGTGTGTAGCAGTTGAGATTCAGGCTGGAGGTTCTTCTGGTCTCACTGCTGCTTTCAGCTGCACCATAGTCCCCACATGATGCGGAAGTCCTGCCAGATGCCTTCCATGGCCCACAGTTGGTACCACAGTCCCAGCCTTTTCTCCTTTCAGCACCACACCCATGGCTGCTATGTGGCTCTGGTGTGGCAAAGGGGACCACAGGCACGCAACTGGTGATTTATGACTTTGCTGCTGCTATGATTCACTTCTCAAACCACTCTAGGAGTGGCAGTTACGAAGCTTTCATAAGCTCCTGTTCTCTCTAAGCCCCTCCTCTCAGATAGTAAGATTTGGGAACGTGGTACTCCCTCCCAGCAATTACTACAGCGCAGCCATCTCTGGCCCTTAGGACTCTTTAATAAGCCTGAATCCCATTAGGCAGTACAGTGAGAGAATGAATTCACCCCAAATTATCTGCTGCCATTTGCTGTTAGCAAAATATGCCATTTAATATCTGAATACTCCACAAATCTGAAGCGTCATCTGGTTATTCTAGCTCACACATCTGCAGCAAGATGTTTACAGTCTGGTCACCTGGCCATTGCCTCTCTAACGACCCTTGCATGGGGAGCTGAATTGGTGGGAATGGAGACTCCGAGAGGTTAAGTAACTGGCCTCAGGTCACACAGCACTCTAATGAAAGGATTAGAACTCAAATTTTCACGTCCTGCCTCATCCAAATGCTACAATGTATAGGAAAAAACTTTTATAACCTGTGAAGGGTATAGATCATGATAGTAGCTATTATTACTACTTGTTTGTGAAGCTCGTCGTGTTGTTATCGAAGAAAATCAAAACACGTATCCGACTGCCGGCAATCCCGACATACACAACTCTAATTTTCCCACATTTAAAAATGGGGAAGAAGTAGTTGTGACTTGTCGAACGGTCCTGTGTTTTGTCAGGTGATTCACAGCAGAATTCTTGGAAATTTTGAGATTCTCTAGTCTAGCCTCTCCCATGTAACGTGGACCAGTGGTTTCTTGGATATCATCACGTTCACAATTCTCGCCCGGTTTCTGTACCACTTCAGCTGTTAGTCACTTAAAAGTTTTCATTGAATTGTCTCACTTCTTTAAAAAAAAAAAGAAACTTACTTCACTCTTCCCAAACAAAAAACCAGTATTACTTGCCATAATAGAGGACAGCCATAACAGTGTGTACAGTGAAAACCAAACAGCAAGAGAAGTGTTTAAAAATCCTAGTTATATACTGTTGCTGGCTGAAGTCCCGAACCCGAGGCCTCCCCTCAGTTCCAAAGGAAGATCAGCTAGTGTTAGAAAGGTGTTAGAGCATAGTAACACCTAACTGAGACTTTTCTTCCCGAGATAATGAGAAGGACTGAAATAATCATTCTACGTTAGTTATTATGTGTTGAACGACCTAAAATCATCCCCCCACCCCTTACTGCCCTAGTCCAAAATTTCTCTAATTCTTTTTCAGATAAATCCTCCATTTGAATGTCAAAATAGCCATGCCTTTCCACTTGATGATCATTGTACATTTCTGGCTATATTTAGACAGCACATTTTGCACAGAATTATTTCCAGGGCCCTCTCAAGTAAATCTATGCTTTGCGCCTTTGTGCAGAGAAAATATGCATCCAGGGGCCCTTTGTGCACATTTGGAGCCACTGCCTCTGGTGAGCTGAAGACTTTGCTTATAGGCAGTAAGGTACTAGACACGGAAGCTGGGAATGAGTCCGAGAAATGAAACACGTGATTGTTAGGATTTGCTGACCCTATAAAAGTATTTGGAAATGATGCAAATTGTTTCAGGGATTACTGAAATGTCATGTGGTGAATCAGACTTGGTTTAGACAGATTTGATTACTAGTCATTTTCAGAAGGACCGTAAGGTCTCCCGGGACCAAGCATTCTGTCCCTCGCTGAGAGGGCTTATGGGGATGGCTGCACTGACTGGACAGAGCCTGGAACTGTCTATCGCCTTTTAGTGGGGGCATTTGTCACACTAGGAGACTTTGGCACTTAAAGGACCATCAGCTTTCACTCCTAATGACAGAGACTGTGGAAGAGTCCAGGGGCCGGTTCCACAGTGGCACTGGAGGCAAGGTGACAAAGATGAGTGGGAGCTTCGAGACCTTTGGTGAATCACTTCCCTTTCCAGCTTTCAGTTTCCCAAGCTACTTCCCTTTCCAGCTTTCAGTTTCCCAAGCTATGAAATGAGGGGATTAGAATAATCTCTAAGAGTCCTTCTGGCTCTAAACCATCCTTCTAGTAACCGTTAATATTCCCTCTCTTGTTTTTTTTCTTCTTTATGCATCTGGTCTCGGGACCTGAATTTGTCTGGACCCCTTTGGGGGAGTATG